AGACTCATTGCAGCTTCATTTCTGAATCCAGTTTTGCAACCCTAGATTCTTCTAGGCGGCAAATTAATCACTATTGGCTTCATTTGGAAACAGAAGGCATATGCTTTCATCATGCTTTTGAAGGTTGCCTCAGGTAAGAAAATGCTGCAATGATCTGAAAAATGTTTCAGAGACCAGGCTTAGTGAATATGTAATTTCACATAGAAGGATCAGCACAAGGCAGGTCCTTATGAGATGGAGGTTACAGGTGTCATAAGTGTCCAGCTTTCCCAAACTGCTGTATGATTCTATTATCTGATACAGCTAATCTTCCTTCCCTCAGTGTCATATCCAAACCAAACCTAACCAAACCCACTTTCACTGAGTTGGTATGGACTCAGAAAAACCCTTTACAAGATTTTCAAGACGATATGTGTAGGGGAGCAGGCAGCCTCATCTTGAACCACTGATCTTGCAGTTAGCTGTCTAACCCAGAGGTGCCAGGCTGCAGCATCGTACAGAAACCACTGTTAAGAAAATGGCTTATCAGGTTGTAGATACTGGCAAATTCCAAATCTGTGGATTAGGTGTGAGTCTGGAGGGTTCTCCTCATTCACATGCATAGTTACTGGGATTTATGAACCTAAGTTGGTAACTTGGAAGACTGACTGTAGACACAAAGAACCAGAAGGTCAAACCCATCAAATTGTTAAGGAAATCCTCACATACGAACATCAGAGGACTACTTCCAGCTATTTTCTATATTCTTTTTAGTATAATGTTCAAAAAGGAAAAATTAACATTTAAAGTGCTGTTATCTAGAGTGGGGCTTTCTCTAGAACATTCTTAAAAGTTAAAAGTACTTTGATTTGTTTAACATTTCACTGTTTGAGAAGATTTACGTAGTTTGAGAGTACTGATTTCTCTCCATGGTTTCACTGGACAGAGAGAGTTTCTTACACGCTGTGCTCTTCCTGGTCGTCTTGAGAGGATGGAGTTCCTTGACACGGACTCTTTGTTTCTGAGTTGGCCTTATATGTGCCATTCTTTATTTCTTAAATGGTTAAACAATTACTGACATTAGTTAGCTTTATGACTCGGGCAAGCCTTTGGGGGGAAAAAATCTGTGTGCCTTAGTCTCTCCTTTTGCAAAGTGAGGATAACAAAACGACTTACCTTGTTGGTTGGGGGTGTTAAAGGGTTAAGTGACTGAAAACTATGAAGTACTGGGGACATTGCCTGGTGCTCAGTAAATGCTCTGTATGCTGACTGTTCCAATTCAGGCAGTGTGTAGGGCATGAATGAGATCAGTTCTTAACTGTGTCTAAGAATTTGTTGGTAAATTGGGTTCTTCTGTAACCTTGCTTTAGTGTAAGAAGCCTTGGTGGCACTGGCAGTTCAAACCCAGCAGTTGGCACCATGGCAGAAAGGTGAGGTTATCTGCTCATGTAAAGATTTACAGTCACACAAACTCTATGTAGAATCATTGTGAGTTGGAATTGACTCCATTTTAGTGGCATAGTAGGTGAAGCATTGGCCTGAAAACTGTCAGGTTGATGGTTCAAACCCAATAGCCATTCCACAGGAAAAAGGTGAGGCCGAATGCTCCCATAAAAGATTTACTTTAGGAATCCCTAAGCAATAGTTCTCCTCTCTCCTGTAGGATCTCTCATGTAGGATTGTTGTGAATTGGAATCAAATTGATAATGGGTTTGGTTGGTATAGTTAGTGTAAGGAATGGTGGAAGCTTTTTCAATTATTTAAAAGCTGCATGTGTAGTAAGTAAAGGTGATTTGAATAGGAGTTGGTTCAGTAGTTTCAAAGTGGAGGCAAATTTACATAACATTAAAGGGCAAGTAGGAAATGTCCTGTTGTACATAGGGTCCCTGTGAGTCAGAACTGACTTGATGGCACCCAATAAAAGCAGGAATTGTCCCTAACATGGTTCTTTGTTTTTTTTTTTCTCTTAAATAATTTTATTGGGGCTTATACATCACAATCCGTACATCCATCCATTGTGTCAAGCACATTTGTACATTTGTTGCCACCATCATTCTCAAAACATTTTCTTTCTACTTGAGTCCTTGGTACAGCTCCTCATTTTTCCTCTCCCTCCCCGCTCCCCACTCTCATGAACCCTTGATAATTTATAAATTATTATTTTGTCATGTCTTACACTGTCTGATGTCTCCCTTCATCCACTTTTCTGTTGTCCGTCCCCCAGAGAGGTTATATGTAGATTCTTGTAATCGGTTCCCCCTTTCTACCTCACCTCCTTCCACCCTCCCAATATCGCCACTCTCACCACTGGTCCTGAAGGGATCATCTGTCCTAGATTCCCTGTGTTTCCAGTTTCTATCTGTACCAGTGTACATTCTCTCCTCTAGCCAGATATGTAAGGTAGAATTGGGATCAAGATAGTGGCGGGGAGGAAGCATTAAAGAACTAGAGGAAAGTTGTATGTTTCACCATTGCTCCACTGCACCCCGACTGGCTCGTCTCCTCCCCGAGACCCTTCTGTAAGGGGATGTCCAGTTGCCCACAGATGGGCTTTGAGTCCCTAATCTGCACTCCCCCTAATTCACAGTGATTGATTTTTGTTGTTGTTCTTTGAAGCCCGATACTTGATCCCTTCTACACCTCGTGATCACACAGGCTGGTGTGCTTCTTCCATGTGGGCTTTGTTGCTTCTGAGCTAGATGGCTGCTTGTTTATCTTCAAGCCTTTAAGACCCCAGACACTATATCTTTTGATATCCGGGCAAAAATCTAATAGAACTTTAACAGTAAAAAGTTCTGTATTGTAGAACTTGTTAAGCAATAGTTTTTATTACCCTAGATGTTTAAAGATAAATTAGTAGAAAGTGGGCTATTTTCTATGTCCTACAGGTACCTGGAAAATAGTTTGTTGTTTGAGTTGAATCTTGAGCATACACCTAAATATAGTGCAGTGATGTAGAACAAAATAGTGTACATGGGACTCGAATTATTAGAAGGATAAATATTACAGTTTTTAACAAGGCATGTCAGTTAATCTGAGTGATAAATCAATGGAGAACTAGGGGTTGCTGGGTTTTATTTGAAACAATTATTTTGAAATGATTAGCTGTGAAACCTTATTTTAAAACTTTAAAATGCTAGATTTCAGATTTCTTTCCACTTAAAAAAACCTTCTTTTCAAGAAAGCAATTTTAAAAAGCTAGCTAGTTGAGTGCTATATGAATTTTAGCCATTGCTGTTTTATAATCACTGATAATGAGTTTCTTGCTATGCTTGTTTCAGATTTGTGCTATTTTAAATGAATTATAAATATGAGGGCAGGTAAAAGGCTGCTACACGACTGGGGTCTTTAAAGCTGTGTGAGCAGCCGTGCAGGCTGTAATTACTGGCTTCCCCTTGTCCTGAGGAAAGAAGACTGAAAAACAGGCACACGGAGACACTTAGGCCGGTGGCCGTGTGCACATCAGACCCCTGATCAGGAGGCTAGATAGTGTCAGGCTCCCATCACCAACTGCTCTGGAAGGGGTTGCAGTAGAGTGTCCTGGATGTAGAGGGAGAAACGTGTAATAAGACAAATGTAAGAGATCAGACTTCTGATCAGATATCTGGGGTTTTATCTATGATCCTTAGTCAAGTCACCTTTTTGATTTGGAATTGGAACTCACTCCCATGACTCAGTTTTCAGCCTTAGAATAAATCAACCTTTTGAAATCAAAAGGGCAGCATTTACCCCAAATTTAGAGGGGTTAGTGACATATCCGCCACCAAGGTCGACGTACTAGGCAGTGTTTCCATTTCTCTGACCCTTCTTTGAAGAATTCTATATCCTTTGATGTACATCATGTTAAACAGCAGGTTGGGCACCCTCAAGGGAATCATTTTGTGTTCCAATTGCAATTTCTTGAAGCTTTGGGAACAAAAACGTTCAAAGGGGCAAGATCAGGACTTTCAGTGGGTGGAGTAAGGGTTCCCAGTGAAATTCTCACAGGATAGCTCTAGACACCCTTGAAGAATGAATGCACCCGTGGGTGGGTGCATTGTGATGGGAAACATTCTTGGTTTAATTTTCCTGGCCTTTTTGTTACCTACCACTGCAGTGTCTGAGGCTGTAAAATCGTTCCAAGAGCCTCATCGTTCTCCCATTCTCCCATGGAGCTGCTTGCTGGGTCTGAATTGCTGACCTTGTTAGCAGCTTAGTGCTTACCCAACAGCAACAACAGGACTCCTTGTACTACTGCTCATGTCTCCAAATCAAGTTATAGCTAGTGGCCGGTCATTTCTTTTGTTTTCTTCATTCTACAGTTTCGGGGCTTTCAGCTGTGCCAGGCCAGTTTTGTACCTGTCCCCTCATTTTCTTTTTTTAAAACCCCCCCCCCCAATTTTCATTGCATAAAATAAAGTTGAGAAATGAGGTGGGCTAGGGATGATGAAACCCCCATGCAGTTGACAATCCATGTATAACTTTGGACTCTCCCCAAATCTAACTACTAAATAGCCTTCGGTAGACTGGAAGACTTGTCAATAACATAAGCAGCTGATTAACATATTTTGCATAGTGTATATTTTATATACTGCACCTACATAAAATCTGCATTTTTAATATGACATAAAATATATTTTGCAATAAGTAAAAAGGTTTCCATGTTTGCTGGGATACTGATAGCTTCATGATTTTTTTCTTTTTTTGAGTGACACAGTAATATTATTGGGGGCAGGAAAGAAAGCACAGGATTTTGTCGCTTGACCTGGGCCTTAGTTCCTAGTGAAGACTTCATGCCCCCCAGCCCATCACAGCTTCTTGGGAAATGATTTACCCCAGCAGAGCTGAGCAAGAAAAGCATGACTTGTTGGAGTTGGAAAGAAGGGGGAGAGCTTATTCAAATGGGTACTAACAGGCCCCCAGGGAGGAGACCAGGGATGGCGGAGGGGGATGGCAGTGAAGTAGGTCTTCTTTGCACAGCAAGGACCCACCCGCAATGGGCAGCACAGCAAAGTGGACTGGGTGAAGTGATGCAGCAGGACTCAGGACACCCCAGCTGCCCCTTCTTCCCTGAGAATGAAGAGGGGCATTCCCTTTGCCATGGTCACTGCCACTTGTTCAGTGAAGCTGGCCAGGTTTACGACCCGCTCCAAGAGGCCTGTGCACTCATGGGTTCTCAGTGTGATGTGTACCCTGTTGTACATGTTAAACCATTCAGTATGGTGGTCCAGTTCCTCCGCCTGCAGGGCCACCCTGGGCATGAACCCTAAAGCCCTATTGAAGTCTTTGAAGTGGAATTGCTTGAAGATGGCATCCTGACCTTCCAGTTAATTCTAGCCCATGGCCCTCAGATTTGGCAGCAGCTGGTCCCTTGCCTGGGCACCAAGCCTGTGTGCTTTGCCGACCATGTCAGAGCAGAGCTTGCTTGGGCTGAATTTTCTGTTTCTCTAATGGGTCTTAGACTGGCCTTTATCTTGAAATAGCAGGCAATTGTAGCTGCAGACCTCAATCTATGGTACATGGCAAGCAATTCACCTTTCTCATGTATGTCCTGACTTCTCTGCTTCTTGGGAGCACATCCAGCACCCATTGTAGGTGGTGTAAAGATACTCACTGCTGCGAATGGTGAGAGCCGTATATACAGTGATACTCAGTTTCCTGGAGAGAACATCTGGTCACTTGGAGACGATGATCATCTCATAGTGTTTTAGAAGAAATCTGCATGTCAGTTGACCTGTGCAGTTCAAACTTGTGTCATTTAAGGGTTCACTGTTTCCTAGCATTTGGCACAAAGGGCCATTTTGAGTTCTCCATTGGTGCTAATGCAGATGACAAAAACAAGCTGTTATTTTAAAGTTTTGTGAATTAGGTAGAGGTTTACATATCACATTTTGCTTTTAGCAACTTCAACAACGTACCAAACCTCACTATTGGCTTGTTCTTCCCTTCTTCCCTTTCTCCTGGGGGTGGGGATGGGCAGTGGAAGGATTGAGGGGAGGGCTACAAAAGTAAATATTTACACTTTATCCTGGATTATGGGTTGTAGTACAAAAGCTCTTAATTACCAGAGGTGCTGAATAATATTCACGCCCCCCCCCCCACCTCCCAGTTTGGGAACCTATGCTCTAACCTATCAGTTCCTTTCTCCTTTCTCCCTCCCACCCTTGGTAACCATCAAAGTCTGAATCTCTTTTTTTGGTATGAAAATCTTTATCCTGACTTAAAAACAAAACAAAAAAACATTTGGTATCATACAGTATTTGTTATTGACTAATTTCACTTGGCAATGCCTGCCAAATCCTCCATGCCATTAATTTTTCAGTTGCATCATTTTGAAAACATATATCGTCTGTGTGTATGCACCAAGGCTTATTTATCAATTCTTTGACCATTAGGCATCTTGCTTGCTATAAGAGATGCTGCAGTGAACATAGATGCGCGTGTATCTGCTTATGTTTTGCTCCTTATTTCTCTAGCGTTATACCAGGTAGAGGGATTATTGGGTCTTAGGGTAGTTTTATTCCCAGTTGTTTGAGGAAGTATGGTACCACTTTACACTGTGGTTGTACTTTTACAGTCCCAGCAACAGTGGATGAGGTTTGTAGTCTCTGCACCTTCTTTAGCATTTGCTATTTTGTTTTTGAACTTTACATTTTTATTTGCATCGCTTTGGCTGCCTGGATGTTGCCTTTGTCATCTTTGAACTATCTGTTCATGTGCACTGCCTATTTTTATTCATGTTATTTGTTGTTGAGATGCTAGTTTTTAATAAATTTTAGATATTCCTTTGTGTGAGATATCATTGCCCTCATTCTGCCCCACCAGTCTTTTTCTCTTTTGACTTTTTTTGTGAAATCTTTTGATGCAACTAAGTCTTATCTTTAGGAGGTCCCAGTTATCTATTTCGTCTTCCATTATGTTTGATAAAGGGTTTTTACCAGCTATTAAGCTCTAAGTTTGTCTTTCTCCATCTACATAGCATTGATAAATATGTGTGTATGATATATATCTATCAATGATATATGTATCAACGAATCATTGATCTTTAGATTTCTAGGGTCTACATGTAAGTTGTAAACCCATCTTCGGTATGTTTTTGCATATGGAGTGAGGTATGGGTCTTTCATTCATCTGCAAAGGAAATCAAATTTTGCCAAGCTGTGAATTACTTACTGGGCTTATGAAGCTAGGCCTGCTTCCAGTGTTGTTCCCCAGGTCAGGGAGGCGGGAGGTTTGTCTATGGTGGAGAAAATGAGACGAAACTAGTAAGGAGGAGAATGAACTCCTGAGGTGGATCCGGTGGCACTGAGCCTCTGAGGCCCTTGGTGCCTGAGGTTCATTCTTTGTGTCTGTGCACTGTTAGTGTCCTGTAAAACCAGTACATCCTGGTGATGTTTAAGTTAACTTGACCTGGATTTCTTTCATTCACAATTGAGAGTGCTGATTAATACATTACATGCTAAACTGTTTCTACTGTGAATTTTGAAGTATTTAAAGATAGTCTGAACTCCAATCTCAGGATAAACATTTCATGTTAATGGTCTTGTTAAAAGTAAACTCCTGAATTAACATTTTGAAGCAGTGGCGGGGAAATAAGATTATGCACAGTATCTATCAGTTGCTTTTGCATACATTTAAACATGTTTTTATGGCTGGTATAGCATGGATCAGTATTCTTTTTGAATCATATCTTTATTAAGTAGTTTCATTTAAAGAGTCACCAAGAAGAATTAGATATAATAATTTCACTAATTAGGCATAAATAACCTCGTTGTATCTCACTTAGTGGTTGTGGTAACTATGCAAGAGGGGCAGGAAGAATGAGGGGAAGAAAACTGTAGAAAGT